AGAAAATTTAAAATCTTTCATTCATCTTAACCTTTCAGTGCCCAAGATGAGAATTAAGTTTGACTGTTCTTGTTAAGCTTTATTCTGATTCATGAAATAAAAATGAATTATTTCTTCAAACAACTGAAGCTCTGTCAGAAAATCAATGGAATGTCAATCTACTGTTACATCTTTGGTATCCATTTTATTTTGCTCTTTAAAATGTCAATAAAAATCTGTATTATTATTTGTTCATGGGTGTCATCAGTTGGATCAGTATTTTTTGCCCAGAGAGCAGTTAATGTGGCTTTGGAGTTATATGTAGGCCAGACCAGCTAAGAATGACAGATTCCCTTTCCTAAACAGCATTAGTGAACCAGATTTTTTTTAACAACATTTATGGGGTCATCATTAGGCTGGGTTTTAATTCCAAATTTTTGTTGAATTCAGGTTTCACCATTTGTCATGGTGGGATTCCAAACCATGCCCCTTTAATGTTAACCTGGGGGTCTAAATTACTAGTCTAGCACCTTGACCACGACAACACCGCCTCCCTTTTTATTTCCTGTTGTTGGTTTTAAAAGCTTTACTCTACCCTTTATGACCACTAACTAGCAATCACAACTAACTTTTATTCCCTACTTACTCCTACCATGAAGCATTTTATGGTTTACTACATATTAGTGAGTATATCTTATAGCATTACACTTGGGTTTTGTTGAGTCAGATATCTTGAAGTTTTATTATAACACTATTTACATAGTTACAATGTCACAGACACGCACGCAGAAGTGAATCTTGCCAATAAACAGCTAAGTGCCAATTTCAGTGAGTTTCATGGAGGGTTTCTCTCCACAAGCCCTAATGAGTTTTCTTACACCATCTTCCCAAAGTTGCCTCATTACCAATCCACTATTGTCCCATGTTGCCCAGCTCAACCTATTCTTCTAAGTGGAAGTGCTAGCCTCTGCTGGGACCACCTCTATCATTAAAGCCTAGCCATGCTCCTAGGCAAGAGCTGCTGTACTGAACCATTCATTTTACTGGCCTTAGACATGTCAGGCAGAGGGTAATAGCATTCTGCTTTGCTGACAGGGACCTGGAGGTCCTGCTGATGGGGTCTGGAAGAGTAAGTGGTAAGTTATGTTGCCAGTTTACCAATCTGACTTTCATGTTGTGAATTGTCACTGTCTAGTTTGAGAGTTGTGGATGGGCTAAAGGGAGATTACTTATCAACGAGGTGGGATTATGTAATAATAAATATATAAATGTATTTTGGTACATACAAATAGGCCCCTCACCATTCACAAGTGAGAATTTCATCTCACTGCTCAATATTTGATTGAGAATTGGGAATTTTTGCTATTGAAGTTGGGAAGCTCTTCACTGCTGAGGTCAGGTGATTCTCCCAATCTTCTCACCATTGCCACATTGTTCAGGGGCTGGGGAGATTCTGCCATTGTTTAGGGTTTGTGCTTGCAGATGTTACTATACATTTCACAAACATACTCAACTGACCTAAGAATAAGAGTAACTGAGGTGACGTGGGTCCCTTTGTAATGTAACGTCAAATGTTGTGATGTCATGCAACTGTCTTTAAGAGTACAGGCCTATCTGGTCTGGAACCTGCGTCATAATACAACAGGCTCCAAAAAGCCCAAAGGCGAGTGGGCCATCAAATGTGTCTACCACACCCTGTAAAATGGAAGACAGATTGTCACGAACAAATGGCTGGTGTGCCGGCCACATGCTGGATTTTATGAGCCCCAATACCTTCAAACTGGCACTGAGAAGTAACAGTGAAATTTCACCCTGAGTGAACTGTGTGAACTGTGTGTCAGCGAGCTGTACAGTTTCCAAGAAATCATATTAAAAATATGAATGAGAATCCCGCGAGTCACAGTAACTGTGAACTGTTAACAAAGAGGATAAAAATGGGCATGATAATGTTCATTTTCCAATGTTTGGCTAATGGGCAGATGATAAAGTAAGACAATTATAACAGAGAAGTAGCACTGACATGGACAACAAAATCAGGTTGAAAGTTGAACAATAAACAACTGATGATAGATGGTTAGCGAAATTATTGCTGAAATAAAAGCAATTGAAAGTATCTGGATTTGTATTTCTGATAAGATCATAAAATGGATACCATGATAAATTCAATAAATGTGCCAGGTATAATATCTACAAGCAACTCTAACTTCATGGGGTGCTTAATACTATAATTAATGTATTTCAAATATATATACGAGAAAGTTATAGCAATTATGAACATCGAAGATATGTGACCAAGATGCCAATTCAGAAATCCTAACATCGTCTGAAGTGTGAATAAGCAGCTTGTTTGTGGAAATCTTTACTCCCTCAAACTTCTGCAAAATGATTCAAAAGACCAAAATCATTGAAATGTCAGATGCATCGGAGGCAGATTTAAGGGCTCAATGATGATTAAACATTTTTGACTTTTTTTTCAATCCGCATAACATCAATGAGGTTTCTCCTTGGACCTGAGAAACTGCACTTCTTGTTAGGGAAAGAATTGAAGCGTTAGGAATGGATGATGTCAGTTATATAAAACTTTACTTTTCTGTCATTGGTTTTGGTTGGCAGAAATCATCACAGCTGTCGCACCATGTTATATATAATCCTGATTATTTCGCTGTCATTCAAGTATGAAGTAAATGCCATCAGGCATTTAAATAGCAATAATTATAGGAATGTACAAAATGATAAATGTCCATCATTAATAAAGGAAAGAAGCTTCCCTCAATTTTCTCCCTCCTATTTTAAGGACAGGTTAGGTAAGCGACATAATTGCGAGAGCAGAGATTTTGTCAGGCTGCCAGGGGTCTCACACACCAGTCCTGCCTCTATTCGCGTGTCCCTGGTCACCGTTTTCTGGCAATAACACGATATGGTCTGCCCTCATGAAGCAGGGCCTGATTTTCTATCCTGCTCTATACACCGCCTCTCCACCGAGATGAATTCATATTCTGCAATTCTCCAGCAAAATAGTTGGCACATTAGCTGTCATCAGTTTATTATGCATCTAATAAACACATGCTGGATCATCTTTCTGTTGACAATTTCCTGTCTTGTCCTTTGAAAGCTCTGAGATAGATTTTTAATGTTCGATGACTGACAGCACAACTCATTAGCTGGCTGCCTGAAATATGATTTATTCATTTGATATTTGATTTATTCATTGTCACGTGTGGTAGCAGTGGGTGTTCAGTCCATTTTGAGGACTGGGCCTTGATACCATGGTGTTAATAGACTTCTGATTACATATGGATCAATGCAGCTTGCTATGGCTTGGATCTGATCTATATCATGAAGTCCAGGGGAATTAACCCATTAATAGGCATTAGTTGAGGGGTCCTCGAGGTGATAACTAGCCTCACTATTCTGGTGTATCCTGGAACGATGTTCCTATTGATTCCACACAAAATAATTACAAACTAATTGAGTAAAACATTGTAGGTCTTTTTCATCAACCTGATCAGACATGCTCTGACTCACCTCCAAGGCAGGTGGTACTTGAACCTGGACCTTCTAGCCCAGACGTATGGACACTTCCACTTTTACTCTAATGGTCTGGAACATTATTTTTGATGTCCATGACAATCCATAGAACAAAACGCTCTTAAAAACTCAGCTTATCTACCAAGCTGAAAACAGTTCAGAGATAAGAATATTGCGTTGAATTTACACAGTCTTCATCTATCTCACTTTTAAAAATCACATTTCTTCCTCAGCTGTTCAGCCAATTATTTAATAAAAATCATATTTTGGATAAGTTGGGCTTTCTATTCATATGTATCCTGTGATTTTACATCTTAAGTCTCATATTTTATATGTAAAATATGAATAATTCTACATTGACTGTACAATTACTAGGGAGGAAAATTAGAAACAGTGATGATACTGGGAAGCACAATTTGCGATTTAGAACAAATCTGTCTTAGCATGTTGCTAAGCATTGATCATTAATTTAGGTTGCAGTTCATAATTAGTTGAAGAAATGGAACAGCAGCATGAAAGTAGTCTCTTCTGTCACAACACCTTTTAAGAGTGCAGGGTTATAAAGTTGATTTTTGTGTGCTTCCTCTTGTTTCATCATTACAGTGTGTCTTTCAAGTTTTGCTTCTTTTTGTGTCTATGTAATATAAATAAACAATCTGCTTAGTCTACAGACTTACGTACAGCCCTAGCTTGTACATTTGTAGAATGGTGCAAACCATTTTCATAACATTATTCAATAAATTCTTGTAGAATATTATACAGCATTCTGCAAGAAAAGAACATTACTTGTTGGGCTATACATTCTATTTAATAAACAATCTTACTCCTTATAATTGCATGTTGGGCCTTCTGCCTGAGGAAATTAAACCTTTGATATAACCTCATTGAAATTTGTAAAATGCAACATTCAGAATTTTTTCTACAAGTAAAGGAATAATAACAATACAGCTATAGAGGTACTGCATAGAACAGTCAGTAAAACCCTTTCTTTTATATTTTGAATTTAATCTTTCGGAATAGATTTTTGCAAAAGATTTTGTGACAAAGCAGAAATCCTCAGCTATATTGTGTAGTAACGCACAAGACATTCCTAAGCACTTCACAGCAACATTGAGGCAAAAATAAATGATACTGAGCCAAGAGAGATAGAGGGACAAGTGACCAAAAGCTTGAAAAGAGGCTTTATGGCAGACAGAGAGAGAGAGAGACAGACAGGAGGCAAAATAGATTAGGGATGAAATTTCAGAGCTCAAAGCTTAGGCTTAAGACACGGTCATGAATGGTTGGGAAAATAATTGGAAAATACACTAGAGACCGAGTAGAGGAACAAAAATGACTAAGAGTGCAAGATACAAAATTTGATTTGTTCTCAGAAATCAGTCATAACAGTCAGTTGAGGGTCACTTACTTTCTTGTCATTGCTCTGAAAACAGATTGGTAAATTTAGAGGTTGTAGTTATGGTTGCAATTAAAGCGAAATTATACAAACCTACCAAGTATGGCCAGCACCATGGTACCTTTAAGAACTTCCATGGAGCCTGAGCAGACGAAATAGATGGCCTGCAATGCATCTCCCTGTCGAAGGAGGTATTCGCCTGGAGCACAGAAAGAGGTTTTGATGTGTAGAGAGAGAGACCTAAGGCAGCCACGGCTGGCAGAGGCAAACAGAGAAAGTTGTAGAATTTCCTTGTTCAAGTGCATAGTGATGTCTGCCCTCAGCTCATCTGGAAAATCCTTTAAAAGCTATGGAAATGAGAAGAGTTAATATGCATTGAAATAATTAATGACATAGCCGCTTGCAAAAGAACAGAGAAGGGTCTGAAAACCCCCTAGGAAAATAAATCACAGAATTATTAAATGTGTTAAATAGTAAAATCGAGTAGATATCCACAATAATCATTGATATCAACATTTTCAGATGTCGTTTAATGGAAATTAATTAATTTTGTGAAGACATATTCAGAGTTTTCAAAATACTTTTAAGCTAAAGTAACCATTAATGACTGCAAGAGATAATTAGATGGAAGATAAATGAACCAAAATGCACTTCAGAATCTCCCCATGGAATCTCTCTTTGTTCCATCTATAATACAATTAACAGTATGGTATAAATGCTAATGTAGTATTACAAAGGTTCAATTAAAACTTCTTAACAAATTCATAGACACAAAAATACACATGCTTCCACATCAAAACGGGTCTCCTCAGACTGGCTTGATTAATTTTGAACATACACATAAATACACATATATGGTGCATAGACTAACCAGATAAACCAGGTGGATGAAAATTTTGTAAACTGACACAGTCATGAGCTAAGATTTGAAAGTGCTTATTGAACTGCAACACAAACATACAGTAATCTTTTCAGTTTAAGTGTTAAAAAACTGCAAACATCTCTTCTCAAAATGAGAGAGATTATCTCCACTGCTGTTGATTGCTATTCTTTCAGTTTATTTTAAAATTTTCTCTTTGATCGTGATTAATTTTGAGTAATGCACCTTTAGCATTGAATTTCTTTGGGTTTCCATCACCGCCCTGTGAAAGTGTGCTTTAACGGTATGAAAGGCAGCTTATTATCACTTTCAACTGATAAAATAAGCAATGACAGGCTAATGTGTTTGTTCAAAAGAGAGGACAGAAAGTAAAAATCTGCATTTGTACAATGCCTCATCTCATCCTCGGAAAACTCCAAAGTGTTTCACTAATGAGGCACTTTTGAGGAAACAGTCTCTGTTATGTAAGCAAAAATAACTTTATGGTGTTGGCAACAATGACCCATTGCAAATGAGGATCATGTTAAAGTACCTTGACAGTCTGATACAAAAGAAGAGGTTTGCAATAATGCCAAAAATACAACTGAAGACCAACACACTTACAACTGGACAGTGCACTGCTTATAGCATTAAAAACTAATTAAAATAGATGATAATGGATGGTTGGATCATAGGTCCAGACCTTCTGGTTTCAAGATCATTGAAGGCTAGGCATAAAGCCCAAAATGTTTGTTAGGGTCCTGCGCAAAGACTCCGAAACCCACCCCCACCCTGGCCTCAAACCCCTCCCTCTACGCCCTGTCTAACTAGCCCCAATAATTAGACTACTCCTCCGATCAAGCCCCTCATCACCAAACCTCTCATCTTGATTACCTCCAATTGTCTGGCTACTGCCCTAACCTGACTAGTTTCAACCTGACTACTCCATCTGACCCCACTACCCCTGGACCTACCTGTCTCCCCACTCACCTGCCACTCCACTCACCTGCCACTTCATCCACCTGGCATCCAACCTACTTACCTCAACCACCCTACACACTGTCCTCACCCACTATTTCCATCTGACTGCTCTGCATATTCACTTTTCACCAGTCACCCATTTATAATCCCATGCACCCATCCACTCATATTCACACTGGAAATTTAAATTTATTTTACAGCAGCAGCTAGCACCATATAAAAGGGGAGTTGTCTTCACACTGACACTACAGAGCTGTGAAGAAGCTTTTCAAAAGAGTTGATGCTCCCTATTGCTGTCAGAGCTGGGCTTGGAAGACATGGCAAGAAATATGTAGCAGCATCTAGACACATAAAATGATTTCGACAATGATTGCCACTCTACAGGAGATGCAGGCCTATAGTTCAAGGTATAACACACAGAGGACTGTCATAAGCCACAAAAAGGTAGCTCAAGTCATTTATTCAGTCATACAAGTCAGAATAATATGTTACATCCTTGAATCTGACTTGCAGTCATCCTTTTTTTAAAATCGATGGCGATTAAGCAGTTACATGTTCTTAATTTTTCAATTACATTTATATTGTCTCTTTGTGATAACAATTTCTCTGCGAACAGAATTGGTGCTGCTGAGTTTTGGGTTGCATTGTGCTGTGTTCTGGCACGGTGGAATGAGAGATCCCAAGATTACAATATGAATCCAGAAGACTTCATTTGGAAGAAAATACTTTCGAGAAATTGACAAGCTTTAAGTGAAAACACCATTCTTTACTTGACTAACTTGAAACTCAACCTCCTATACAGTAATCAGCTATAAACATTTTACACATTTATTAAGCGCTCTGATTGCTAACAGCAGCCTGTCTCACAATGCAAAAATCTATTTTCACAGAAAGAAAGAAATATGGAAAGAAATTGAGTCATAGCGTCATACAGCATGAAAATAGCCCCTTCGGTCCAACTAGTCAGTGCCGAATAAACATCCCAATCTGACCTAATCCCTTTTCCCAGCGTTTGACCCATATCCCTCCAAACCCTTCCTATTCATTTACCCATTCAGATGACTTTTAAATGTTGTAATTGTAACGGTCTCTCCCACTTCCTCTGGCAGCTCGTTCCGTACATGCACCACCCTCTGCATGAAAAAGTTATCCCTCAGGTCCTTTTTAAATCTTTCCCCTCACACCTTAAACAAAAGTCCCTCTGGGTTTGGACTCCCCTACCCTGGGAAAAAGACCTTGACTATTCACCCTGTCCATGACCCTCATGATTTTGCAAACCTCTATCACCCCTCATCCTCTGACGCTCCAGGGAAAATAGCCCAGGCTATTCAACCTCTTCCTATAGCTGAAACCCTCCAGTCTCGGCAAAATCCTCGTAAATCTTTCTGCACCCTTTCAAGTTTGACGATATCCTTCCTGTAGAAGGGTGACCAGAATTGTATGTAGTATTCCAAAAGTGGCCTCACCAATGTCCTGTACGAGTGCAACATGACATCCCAACTCCTATATTCACAGAGATAGTAGAAACTGCAGATGCTGGAGAATCTGAGATAACAAGGTGTAGAGCTGGATGAACACAGCAGGCCAAGCAGCATCAGAGGAGCGGGAAAGCTGACGTTTTGGGCCTACCCTGATTTGCCCTACCAAAATGCAGCACCTCACATTTATCTAAATTAAACTCCATCTACCACTCCTCACCTCATTGGCCTTTCCAATCAATGTTGCACTGCATTCTGAGATAATCTTCTTGACTGTCCACTACACCACCTGTTTTGGTGTCATCTGCAAACTTACTAATCATGCCTCCCATATCCACATCCAAATCATTTATATAAATAACAAAAAGCAGTGGACCCAGCACCAGCTCTTGCAGTACACCGCTGGTCACAGGCCTCCAGTCCAAAAAGCAACCCTCTACCACGACCCTCTGTCTCCTACCTTCAAACCAATCATGTATCCAGTTGGCTAGTTCCCCCTGGATCCCATGTGATTTGATCTTACTAATCAGTCTACCATGTGGAACCTACTAAAATTGAACTAATTGTATGGAAATAATACTTAGATAAGGGACAGAAAAGAAAGCAAAAACAGTGACTATTACTTAATACACATGAAACATAGATTACGCCTACAACTATTACTGGGGCTGAACACCTTATTCAAAACATTGATAGTAGTAATCATGTATATACATACTGCTGGAGTTAAACATCAGAAGTAATCCTTTTGGATTAATCATGATTTGCATATTAAAATTAGGTGCTTGTAGTAGGAATAACCTACATCATTAAAATAATAATTCAGAATCACTTTACAAGTTGAAATTTACAGATCCTAATTGGTAGAAGTCACAAAGTATCCACTCAAGCATTTTGTTGTCGGCATACTTTCAATTTACTTATGACAGAAATGCACTGTACTGTAACCGTTCACTTTAAATAACACTCAAAATTAGAGGAGAAATTTAGTTATGCTGCAGGGAGAATCACTAGGTAGGAGCATGCTGCATTTGCTGTTGTATGTCCTTAAAGAGTAAAATGAACAAAGGAGGATTCAAAGTGGTCATTGTATTATTATCAGGGAGATAGATTCAGCAATAATGCTGAGGGTTTTTTTTTATATTCAACCTAAAATAATGAATATATTTTATCAGCACATTACTGAACACTACTCTCTGCTTGTTAAGAGTAAAAAGGAAAACTCATGCAATATGATGCAGTTGTTCAATTTACTGAAGTTGTTTCTGAAAGTACTTGGTATTGGACATAAATGACTGTTGCCCTGAAGGGGTGCCCAAAGCAGGAGGCAGATTTTTCCACAACTAATTCTCTAATAATCCGAGTGTTAATGACCGGCAATCAGGGACCCCACCTGGACAGCTGGCAGCTCGACCACTGCTGGGACACCAAGCTAGAAGCAGCAGCAGGAAGCCATCCTTTTAAGAAGGGAATTTGGATCATGGTCACTGGGGAGAGGCAGGCCCGACTGAAGTGGAGAGAGGGTTCTTGAAGGTGAAGGTGTTTGCAGCACTTTACACTTGCTTTGAGTGACAGAGTGCCAAGTCAGGAAGAACTACCCCAATGGTTTGCACAGGAAGTTGGCAGGAATTACTGACTGATCTTTCAGCATGGCGGAGGGCCTGTACCACTGGTAAAAAAAATACAATGACAGTAGGAAGATGTTCTTAAGTGGTCCTTAATGGCTGCTTAAGGGACTCAATATATCTCTGGGTGAGAAGGCCATCCTCCACTTTACCTGCTACTGATAAAATTCCATGATGTTGAGAAGGTGGCAGTCATTTCATTTCCTTTCCCACTTAAGGACCTCTCTACCTTCCATAATGCGTCTGAGAGCCCCATTAAATTCTACCCAAGGAGTGACACAAGTACAGAATCATGGAAAGAGGAGGAGAAAGGAAAGTGTTCGTTTTTCAAAAAAAAACTTTTCTCCTGTGATAGAAACTGTGAGATTTACATGTATGATTTTAAATGTAGAGTGAATAGCTTTGTGCACGAAGGGACTGTTGTTAATTTTAGATTGTTTGGAACGCAACAAGATAAGTGATGGGGTTGATTATAGAGCTCTGGAATTTGTTCATTTTTCTCGGTTTATGGAAAATGCCCTTAACGGAGAGATTTTTAGTTTCACTGAAGCAGTCCTGTGAAGTTCTTGGAATGGGATGGCAATATGCTGCAGTGCTCCTGAAAAGGGAATGATAGATACAGTGAATTAGATTACAATGGAGTGAAGGGTTAGTGTTAGTCCCAGACCTGATGTGGTGGGACAAATAAAGTCCAGGAGACACTACTTAAAGTTCAGGTACAGTGAAACTCAAACATATGATTGCTCCAGGAAGAAGCTATCAAAATTTCAATCTAAAAGTTGAAGTCAAAACTAATTTAAACAGACGAAGATGTAAGGTGCAGGGATTCTGGTGTGAGTAATATGTGGGTGGTGCCTTGGGGAGTGGAACAGTGGTGTTTTCTGGGTACTACACAAAAGCTGTTTTGGTTCTTTGCTATAAAAGAATGCTTTGGGATTAATGGGATTATACTTGTACTGGGTGTTTAATTTTTTATTGAAATTGTATCATACATAGATAGCTTGGGTTATTCTATTTGATTTTCATTTCTTTTGTAATAAACTTCTGTTTTATTTTTAAACCAAATCTGCAGCTTTTGCTGCTTATATTTCAGTGAGAGGCTGCTACATTGAAAACAAATAAGGATATGATTTATAAAACCTGGTTCCTGACTGGGCTCTGACTTCTCCAGTAAAACATCAGATGTGACCTTAACACACCCTATTCAAGAATGTGAATACAACTTTGAATGCTGCATCAAAGAAACAGCAAGATGATCAGGAGATGGAAGCAAACAAGGTGAATGGACATCAGGTACATACATTGTGAATGCACCTATATCCAATGCACTGCATGTACTACCTACTATTTCGGCACATTAATCTTATGGCAGTGCTCTGTGTCAGGGGGATAGACTTGAAAAGGAAATCTATCAAAAGAAATGTATAACCTCATGATCCCAGAACAGGAGACAGAACTACAGTCCAATATCACCATTGGATTTCCAGTGAAAGTGATCCCAATCCATAACCCTTTGTTACATTGTTGTTCTAAGCAATCATCTTAATTATGCAGAATAAGTGAGCATTATGTGCACAGATCCATTGAACAGATGAAAGAGGCTATGCATAAATATTCAAAGCCTAAAATTCACTTTAACATTTATCAGCCGCAAAATATACATTTTTCAAAAGAATACACTGTAGCTTTCTCTGAGGCTCGAGGCAACATTGATCACAATCATATTACACATTCAGCATCTGTTTTGTGCGTCACCAACAGAACCAGAGTTTTATGAAATTCCAAGCAGTCTATAAACATAGAATGAGATCATGTGTCTCGATCAACGCTCCTTATATTGCTACAAATCAAGCATCCAAAATCTTCCTTGTATGACTAGAATGCCATTCCTTGGCCTCTTAGAGACTCCCAGTAAATGTTACAACCTAACACTCCTGACATGAAACTTCATCTGCTGCTGATGCACATTGGAAATTCAGATATGAAGGTCAATTCCTGCAACACCCATTGCCATGTAGTTGAAGCCAAATTATTTCTCTGTGTCAAAACTGGTGGTGAAACTATTGACATGCCATGCTCAGTCCCATATTAAGGAATAGTCTCTTAACTGAACACCATAGCTTAAGTGAAGGGAAAATGAGAATTTCTTTTCAAAGTGGGGGGAGAGAGAGATAACCCATGGAAGATGGTACACGAGGTATAGCACTGGCCTTTGTTTACGTAAAGAGACAGGGGATACAGTAATGAAGTGATTTGTATGAACTGCCATGGAAATTCATGTTGGTAGGCTCTGCAGCCTTTTGTTTCCCTTCTGGATGATCCTCAATAGAATCTCCATGAATGAACTCTATCAGTGCTCAAATGCAAAATCTTCTGATGCCTGTCTACAGCTGAGCTATCAGATAGTCCAATGGGACAGAGAAGAAGCAAAATCAGGACTCAATCACACAGCAAAAAAGGTACAGTTATGGTTAAAATAGTCATAGTTTTCAACATTCAAACTGACTTTCAATAATATGTGAAAGTATTTCATTGTAGCAGATGCAAATTATGAAAGAAATTACCTCATTAGCATCAATTCCATTGTTGACCGACCACGTTGTCTGGAAGTACTCAAGCATTCGCTGTTTGAGCTGCTTTGGCAGATGATGGACTCGAATGAAATCTTTTAGATCTTTGATTCTGTGGTGATACAGAGACCACCTGGAGTACATGCGCTGAATGATTGCAGTTACATTCCCAAATACCAATGCATGCATCAATGCTGAGAAGAAAGAAAAGCAAGTAGTTAATAGATCATACAACAATGTTAGTAAAATAGGTCAGTTTATAGGATTGAAAAGCACCAATGTGTATGGATGAGTGGGCTACTTGCCAAAAGCAGAACAGTTCTTGGTATTTCTGATCTTGCAATCCCAATAAACTGAACGGGAAGTTTTTCAGAGTTACTTTCCAGCTGCTAGCTAGAAGTTCTTACGAGGGCTCATCATCATCATAGAATCCCTACAGTGTGGAAACAGGCCCTTCGGCCTAACAAGTCCACAACAATCCTCAGAGCACCCACCCAAACCCATTCACCTATAACCCACCTAATCTATACATTCCTGAACACTACGGGCAATTTAGCATGGTCAATCCACCTAGCCTGCATATCTTTGGACTGCGGGAGGAAACTGGAGCACCTGGAGGAAACCCACGCAGACACTGGGAGAATGTGCAAACTCCACATAGACAGTCACCCAAGGCTGGAATTGAACCCGGGTCCCTGGTGCTGTGAGGCAGCAGTGCTAACCACTGTGCCACCGTAAAATGTATTCTCAACTTGCAAACATGCAGAAAGTGTCTTATTTTCTCATAATAATTACTTTATGAGTATTTCACTATCTGGTAAAATCTAAAATATGAACAGAAAATACTCTCATGACAAGTGTAACTGTGTTGTTATTGTGTAACAATAACATTAACATATTGAATCTACAGAGGTGTGTAATTTGTGGCCAGCTTTCAATGTTATTGCAATGCTCCTGATTTAATTACCACAGATCAATCATGTCATTAGAAAAGAACTTTGGCTGTGTTTAGACCATGCATAAGTCTGCTAACCATGTAATTATATTGTTCCTCAAGCTATAACCAGGGAACAGTTCTTTATGGCACCATATCAATTTGCAGCCAAACCCTTATTTCCCCAGAACTAGCCTCTCCAATCCCAGTCTTTCAGTGTCCCTTGAATGTGTATGTGGGGGATGAGTACCAGCATATAGAAGCAGAAACATAAGTAAGGTGCATAAAGGATGAGAGTGGTCCATAGTGCTGGAGAAGAAAGTAGCTCTACATTACATAGAAGCAGATGAAGCTGGACAATGAGGAATACATTCAAAGATAGCGTCAAACAAGATGAATAAGCTTGGTGAGTTAAAAGCACAGATAGACATATGGGAACATGATGTAGTGGCCATAACAGAAATGAGGTTAAAAATGGTGAGGACTTGAAGCTAGATATCCAAGGATACAAAGTGCTCAGAAAAAAATAGAGAAGGGAAAAAGGGAGATGGATAGCAGCATTGACCAGGGAACAGATCAGAGAATTGGAAAAAGAAGATGTTCTTGAGATAATAATCCAGAGGGTCTGAGTGAGTGCCCTCACTCCACAGACATGCAACAGAATATTATTCTCAGATTTATCTATGTTGGCAGCCTCCACAAAAGAACAGAATAGGAAAGACTGTAAAACATATGGAAAGTGAGGTAAAAACGAAGGTAAAGCCAAAAAACAAATTAAGTATCAGACATAAAACAGGAGCAATAGAAACACAAATAGAAAGAATAACAAAAGGGATTGAGAAAAAAGTAGCAAAACAAATCATATGACATAATGAATTACTGGGTATGGGGAGCAAGAAGACAGCACTGTCCAGTAATAAATATGCTTTGTTATAAAGCGTTAAAGCACGTTGTCATAGGAGATTAACATATGCTAACCAAAACCAGATGAACATTTAGTATAGAACTGAATTTTACTTGCAACTAAATTCATTTTAATTCCTGGGCTGTATTCATGTGACAATTTTCATTCACCTCAGTTCACCATTAACAATAGGTATATAATTTATTAGCCACAAATTAGATTATGATGTGTTGCTTGTGGGTGTCAGTGTTACTCAAGACCCAAACATGAAAAATTACCATAACCCTTTTAGCTACTTCCCATATGGTCCATGTTGTGTGCCTTGACACTCAAAGAGAGATAGCACAGGTGTGCTCTGTGCACACTGGAAGCTTGCAGCTTAGGTGGATCATGATGTTAAATAGGTTCTGTTGCTCAGTTGGCTGGAAGGCTGATTTGAGATACAGAGTGATGCCAACAGCGGAGGTTCAATTCCTGAACTGGCTGAGGTTATCATGAAGGACTCTCCTTCTCCACTTCTCCCCTCACCTGAGAAATGGTGCCCCTCAGATTAAACCACCACCAGTCATCTCTCTCTAATCCTGTTCTCTAACACTTTGATGCACAATTTTCCGTCTTGGATCTCACAAGTCCAGTTAATGTGCTCTCTCTTTTATATCCATGTATATAAGTTCCACTGCATGAGGGACCCTCACCAACATCATACAAATGGCAAGCCATCCAACTTCCATGTTTTGTTATTTATAGCGTTATAGTGTCATACAGCACAGAAATAGATCCTTCGGTCAAACTCGTCTGTGCTGACTAGGTATCCCAATATGACCTAATCCCATTTGCCAGCATTTGGCTCATATCCCTATTCATATACCCATCCAGATGCCTCCACCACTTCCTCTGGCATCTTCCAGACATACACCACCCTCTGCCTTAAAAAAAGTTGCTCAGGTCCCTTTTAAATCTTTCTCATCTCATCTTAAAACCTACGCCCTCTAGTTTTGGACTCCCCCACTCTGGGAAAAAGACCTTGGCTGTTCACCATATCTATGCATCTCAAATAAACCTCTATAAGGTCACCCGTCATTTTTTCTAGTGAACAGTTAATTACTGTACCTTTTGAGTTCAGTTATGCTAGCTCAGCTTTCTATAAACAATAGCAGTGAGTGTTTTTGGACAATAAAAACCTCTGCATAAGCCCAGCTGTACAAAGCAGTTGTCATCATTACATTCCTGTACTGCAGTGAGACTTGGACTGGGTCTCTGCTATACATGAGTGTGCGAGAGAAATTGTAACAAAATGCCTCCATCACATCTTCTGGATTCAATGAGAGGTCCATCGAAGCAATCTGCACAAAGATTCAGGTAAAACTCCTGCCAAATTAAATACAATGGACTGGAAACTGTACCCAGATGGCTGACAAACATCTTCTTGTGCCATGTCCTTTTTTTGCACCACCTAAGTTCTAGGAAGGAAAAAGACTGCTCTGTGATGACATTCTGAATCTCCACTTGAAGTGAGATAGCGTTGATGTTTATGGCTGGGAGTAGCTTGCTACCAGTCATTCAAAATTATATCAACACATATTCAAACATATATTCCAGCAAGATGGTGGGAGGGTAAGATGCTCCATTCGGAGCCCTTCTCTGACCCCACCTCAGTGTCTGACAGTGTCTGAGACATTTACATTTCACCAAGGCAGGTAATGAAATGGGTCGCCTCCTACAACTCACTCTGCATCCTCACATTCAGGCAAGGGTGGCATTGCCAGTGGTTGTCAATGTTTGCCCTAGTTGTTATGCCAATGGATCTTTGGAGGAAGAAGCAGCCAACATGAGCAACAACTCGCAGTTCACTGCCCATCGTGGCATCAGGAAGACAACAGTTGCCTGTGTAAAAGGAAAGGAGATTGCATGCCACCTCACTGGCCAAAGAGAAGCGTGAGGGAGTACATGGATTTGGGAGAATTTGGGGATTACAGTGGTGCAGCAAACCAGTGAGTGCACACATGTAGTTCTGTGGGCCCTACACATGGCCTCAGCACAAAGGCTACCATTCATTACCAGTCAGCTGATGACTGACCAGTACTCAGAAGGTCCTTGAATGCTTGCTATATTGGGAGCAGCCACAACCTATTCATCTTGCATGTCAGCCATACCCACCATCTTTGGCTGGCCACAAAGGACTGGAGGTTAGCTGCTGGGAGATGATGGATACATCTTCTAGACTTGTCCTATAATTCAAACCATGTAGAAACCAGGAATCTTGTGGAGCAAACTGTGGGAATGCTGAAGGAAGCGTTACACTATCTCGAGGGAAATATGTCAGCTCCTCCACTCCCCTACCTACACCCCTTACAATCATCTGAGCTCATCTCCAAGGTTGTGATGGTTTGCTCCATCCTCCGTAACCCTGTCCTTTCGAGCAGAGACCACCTCCAGAGGAAGGGAGGAAGAACTATCATCCCTCTGCTCTGAATGGGCTGTCTGTGACTGGACACTTGGAACGCAGTTCTCCTGAACTGTCACAGATGTGTCACAGATGTTCTACAATTCCCCATCTTTCAAATCATCTGCTGCATCAGAGCATCCTCTTCACTCAATTTTCTTGAAAGTAAGCTAATTAATAAAAAGCACTCTACAATAACTTTATCTAACTATATCCAATAAACTTCTAATAATACACAGACTGAACTGTGGATTCCCTTGCTGCCTGTGTTGTGGGTGCCTCATCCTGGCCTGGTGCTCTTACTCAGTGGCTGCAATATGGTTGTTGGGAACCTGTGGAATTTCTCAGGAAGGGGCTGAGGAATAGTGTTGTAGGATGATCACAAACAGCCCTGGCCCTTTAGTGCGCAGCTTCAAACTGGTTGATGTCTGCATGGGCATCTGAAGCCTGGGGTGGTTCAGAGTCAACTGCAGGGGATCTGAGATGTTGACTGGATTCTGCCTTTGCTTCAACAGAGGCTGAGACATTGGCTGTCAGATGGTCTATCACGGCAGGAAAGCAAGCATTCACATGGAGTTGGCTTCCATGCTGCAAATTATCTACACAAAGCTGGAGCCAGGCACCAGCATGTTCCTTGATAGTGGCAAGAGACTCTCTAACAGGCCTGCCAAAGCAATCAGTATCTTTGAGTGTTTGCCCAGCAGTGTTTTTCCTGCAAGCCTCCACATCTCATCTGCATCTTCAGCAGCAGAACAGCTTGACTTTGCCCGCTGGTGGGCTGGCACATGAACTCGCCTTTTTCTCTGGCCTGGTCCCCTTTGCCTGTGTGCTGCTCCTGACTCCATATTACCCTCTAACATTCTCTTAGTGCCAGTATCTGGTGGCTGCAAGGGTCAGATATAATGATGATGCTTTTCCAGCATATGCCTGTTGTTCCTCTCATCCTTCATGAAGAGGATGCACCGTCTGGCCTGGTAGCAGCAACTCATAGCTGTCTGAAAGCAGAAATACAAAGCAGGAGGCTTGGAATGAGGGAATAATGGTTGGATGTAAAACCAAGCAATCTATTGTCTGACATCTGCTGCTTGCATCTAATGTGAAAAACCCAGATGAGGGTGAAGTGGTACATTGAAAAGTGGCAAAGGCAGAAACATATCTATCTTCATAGCCTCAGCAACATCAGATGCAATGGGCTCAGTACAGCCATCCTCTCCAAAGAGCTCAGTCAAAGCAGGCCTGTCTATCCGTCATCAGCTTTCTACTTCTCCCTGTGGTTATGGATCACAGTGCCTTTAAAAAAAGGGCAGATTTCTGTGAGTGTGTTGCAATTTGTTCAGTCATGTGCCTGCCATAGCTGAATAGCTGGAGCTATGTGGAAGCACTGAGAGATGGTGAGAGACTGGAAACACTGGTATATATGTGAGGGCAAGGTGGATTATCTGAATTAGACTATGATACACAGAATAGCAAGAGATGTTGACAGAGCCAATGAGGGGGAAATATTGACAGAGCCGAGGGTCGGGGGGATGGAGGAGATGTTGACAGAGCTGTTGGCAGTGAGGGGAGCGGGGGGTTTGGGGGGAATGGTTGAGGGGTGTAGGAGATGTTGACAGAGCCAGGAGGTAGGAGATGTTGACAGAGCCAAGGGGAGACATTGATGGAGCCAGGGATGGTAGGGGGCTGGGGGAGCAGGGACGATGTTGATTGAGCAGTGGACACTAGGCTCCAGGAACTTATCTTAGTGAGCAGCTCCCTTTTCCATTCAGGGTGCACGTTTCAGGGTCCCCTATATGGATGGCTTCTTTTTTTCTCTCGCAGTCCCCTTGTTATTGCCTGCAGTGCCACATTATAAAACCTGGTATCCCTCTTTCCATTCTTTTTGTCTCATGACCTCTTATTGCAACCAGATCCTGTGGTGAAGTTCCTCAAGTTATTCCAGTTCTAGACGAATATACAAAACCATTAAGCTCCCAGGAGAGGAAGGATCAACTGGCTCTTCTCCTTTATTCATCAAGGTGGTTTTGTAAAGAAGCCTTTCCCAGTGGCTGCCTTTCTCCCAAACTGACTGACTTTATGTTAAAAAGAGCCAATTTGACCAGGTTTTCTTGAGTTAACAGTATAGTTCCTATCAATTGGCTTGGTTAAGCCACTTAGCTTCTAATACTCAGAACAAAAGAATTGTTTTTGCTGCAATGCAAAGGTGAGGAGTTGGTGGTTCTTCAACTGTGACTAGCATAGCACATGAGGACACAAACCTTGGCTGGTACACATGGCCCTCAATTCACTTGCACACACAGACCAGAGTTGCAGTCAAACTTTAAGCCTTTTTTAAAAAAATATTCCTGAAAAGACAAAATACAATAAATATTTGCAAGTAACAGGTTTCTGCTGAGAAGAGGGAAATAGTTAACATCCTCATTAGACCCAAGATAGCGGCAGAGTAGGATGCTCCAGCTGGAGCTTGTCTGCTCCATCTGTTCCTTTTTTTTCCTTTCTTTTTTCTTTTCTCTCTGTCATTTTCCTCTTCTGCCAGTGGCCCTGAGTGGTGCGTGGATGGTGGCCAGCAGGCCCACAGCAGGAGCAGCCTGAGGGGCCTAGAGCTAAGATGGTTACTGGTTGGGAACTGGTGGAGCCTGATCAGACCACGTGGAAACCCTTATAGAAAGACTGTAATGTCCATCTTTTTATCTTTATTTCTTATTTTATTTTAACTTGTACTTATACTATGTATATCTGTAATGTAGTGTAACATTTTTCCTTATTTTCTCTATTTTTTGTATCTAAGGTTGTACCTAGATACTTCGTACCAAAGATGGCTCTGTGTGTTGGCGACATTGTACAATCTTCACTGTACTCCTGTTCTCCTGTAACTTGAGTACACATTACAAGAAACATAATTCTAATTCTCTTCTTGTTACATTTCTCTCTGTCTGAAGTTTCCCTGACATTCCATGGGTCCCACACAGTTATTTGTCCAACAGCACTGAATTTACATCTGAAAACTTTTTTTTTGTCTGCAGTAATCCTCTTCTTTAAATAAAAAACACATTTTGGAATTAAAAGTTAAAAATGCCCATAGTACTTCAAGGTTCTGGTCCATCGTCATGACACCATGCTTTTCCTTGCAGCTAAATTTTCTTGAGGCAGTTCCAGCAGTTCTCCTTTGAGATGGGTAGGATAGTGGTTAGAGGCTGTCAGAGGCTATTAGAGGCTGTTAGAGCATGCATCATGTCAACCAGTTGCTTGTAGAGCATTGAGCCAATCAGCATTGAACTTCATACTGAAGTCATTTAGATGAGGAGGCATGACGTTCACATGCTTAAATTTTTAATTATATCACATTTTGAAATCTAAAAGATTAAATAGCTTGGAAACATTTTGGTTTCATCAATACATATTGATATCTCCATTATTAATTATGACTGTAACTGAGCACTACCATCGATAATAAATAAGTTACTGACTGAAATGGAGATTGCATTATGACTCTTTTCAACAGAATTCATAAGTACACAGAAAACACTTTGAATAGATATAAGATAAACATAATAACAAGCAGCAAGAGTAGGCCACTCAGACCTTCAAGCCTGTTCTGCCGTTCCATTTGATCACGGCTGACCCTCTGTCTCTATGCCATATTCTTGCTTTCCGAGCATATCCCTCGATGCCCTTAAAATCTCAAACATTGAATAAAAGCCTTGATCATTTTAAATCTGTCAGAGAAACTGAATACACAGAGGCAAAGGTGTATACTATGAAGCAAATTAAATTTTACCTAGACCAGTGAGGAGACTGATGAGAGATTCAGCAGTACATGTACTTTTCGAGCTTCTTCATTGGCCACCCATAAGATGACCCACAGGATATCCACCTCCAGGTGTTTTAATGGAGTACAGCAGGTGTCCGATGCAATACAGCTTGCTGCATGCTAACTCCCAAGTTGAATTTCCAACCTAATAAATCTTATGCAGACAGGCTATGTTGAAACTCTACTGATAACACACAAATATAAATGAACATACCTCCTATCAGCATTGTGCAGATGGAAAAGATCTTCTCTGCCTCGGTATTGGCAGAAACATTTCCAAATCCGACACTGGTCAGGCTGCTGAGCGTGAAGTAGAGAGCAGCAATGTAGGCACTTCTGATTCCAGGACCTCCCAGTGTGTTATTGTCATAATATGGAGTTTCAAGGCGTTTTCCCAATTCATGCAGCCAGCCTATAACCGCAGATTGAAAATGACTAATTACCAATAGAACATGTCTTTAATCATTAAAGATGCAGGCACACAAAATTAGGAATTAATCCCTTGAGCATGGTCCACCATTCAATTGGATCATCATTGATCCAAAGTTATCTCATCCTCGTTTATCCATTAGTACTCCATATCTCATGAGTAAAAATTGAAGCATAGGGGTGAAAAGTTATCGCAGGTAGGTGGAAATGTTTGTAATCAGATTAGCCATGGTTTTACTGAAAGGCAGAGCAGGCTTGAGGGGCAGACTGGCCTAATCCTGCTCCTAATTCATTATTCATGTCTTCAAGACACGCCCAATCCCACTCCACAGTATGCGTGGCAATTGTCTGGTCACACTCTTATTTTTCTTCCCTCCCTGGAATCGATGGGTATTAATTCACTGAGACCCAGCTTCAGCCATGGAGGCAATGATGCTGCTGCAGTGTGATCCTTTATAAAAGGCTGAACCAGGCCACAAACTAAGCATTGGGACTCATTAGCAAAAACTAGACTTGGGGCCGGTGTCCCATGTGTGAATATACATATGTACTTATAACTTAACATAGGATAAGGGCATTACTGGCTCATCGTCATTTATTGTCTTTGAGAAGGTGGTGGTGAGCTGTCATCTTGAACAGTTGCAGTCTATGTTGTGTAGGTATGACCCGAGTGATTCAAAGGAGGAACTTCCAGGATTTTGGCACATGAGGGAACAACGATATTGTTCCAGGTTAGGATGGTATGGGGCCTGGAGGGAAAGCTGCAGATTGTGATATTTCCATGCATCTGCTTCTAGGTGTGAGAGGTTGCAGATTTAGAAGGTGTTGCCTAACGACCCTTGGTGGAGTTACTCCTGTGCATCTACTAGATGGCGCACATCTAGTGAGCATCAGCGGATGGAGAATATATTAAAGGCAGCCAAGGAGGTACCAATCAAGCAGGTTGTTTGGTCCTGCATGGTGTCGAGCTTCTTGACTGTTCTTGAAGCTGCACTTATCCAGGCAAGTGGAAAGTATTCTAGCACATTCTTCACTTCACGAAAAAATTATTTTTTGGGGTGATTGCTGAAAGACCACTGAAGGATCACTAACAGATGAAGCCCAGATTTTGCTGAGGGGTCCTAAAAAAGCACCATTTTCAAATGTAACAAGTCTAATGTTGGACTAGGGATGCCTGAAAAATTATTCAGCTTAAATCAGGTCTAACACCTTTCAGGTATTATTTAAATGTGAGACATTTCTGCACAAAAATGTTATACATTGCACTAATCTCACCCATAAAATGATTGCAGCAAGATCAAACTTTTAGCATACCCGCCTCTGCTTTGTGTCTAAACCTATTGAATTTGATCAGGTTTAGAAAGATACAATGTGAGAAATGATGGCCCAGATTGTCCAAAGGAACTGCAGTAAATGGTGAAGTGAACAAAAACAAAATTGCTGGAGAGGCTAAGCAGGTCTGGCAGCATCTGTGAAGGAAAAAACAAGAATTAACGTTTTGGGTCCGGTCACCAGACCCGTAATGTTAACTCTGTTTTTTCCTTCACAGATGCTGCCAGACCTGCTGAGCCTCTCCAGCAATTTTGTTTTTGTTCCTGATTTACAGCATCCACAGTTCTTTTGGTTTTTATTTTGTATATGGTGAAGTGTTTGCTGCTATTGTGTTTTGGGGTCCTGAGGGAGTCCTGGCCTACACACATACTGTGCATAATATTTATCTGGAAGCTTACATTTCTGGGCAGAATTTGCCAACGGATCACACCTAGAATGTCTCTGACACTGATCTTTGATGTTTACTCTACTCTTCAATTGCTGTTAATCTCCAGTGAATAGGACATTGGGGATCTCCAATGAATAGGACAGTTGTATAGGAAAGACTTAAACAATATCCTCCACCTGCATCTGATGTTCACTTTGCCCTACGCCCCTGACATTGCTGATTTTACAACTCACTCACTCATTCCTCTTGACAATCCTCAATACACCCCCCACACAATGACAGTTTCCCCCTCAACACCCTAGCAATACTCAATACACCTATACCTCTACAGCCCAGACAATGCTGAAACATCCCACACCCGGACAAACGACCAAAATCCTCCCCTCACACCCTGACAGTGCACAAACACTCTCACCTGCAACAATGCCCAACCCCACCATAAGCATCAACGCACATTACCACCCCCCCAACAATGTTTAGCCACCCTCACCCTGACAATGCTCATGCCAACAACACCCTGATATATCAGTTAATGGTTCTGAAAAAGTTAATGTTCTTATTACATTGAGCTCCACTAACTCTGTTGATGTCACCCACAGTTTCTGAGTGGAGACAGTGAGTCGTGCTTAAGCTTTTGAAGCGAGCATATGGTCCTTATGGTCCCAGTGACTGTAGTTGTACCTCTTGCTATCCTGCAATACACCTCCTTGTTATGTAAGAACAGTGCCCCTTCTGCAGTGGTGTATCCTCCACCACTAATTAATAGACAGGCCCATGATCCAGCAAGACAGGGACAGCAAATTGGCTCAAACAATTGTTACCCAGTGCTATGTACAAATGTGCCATGGCAAATATTAAAATCCACCAGGGGTGGTCATCTGGTAAAATACCATGACCCTGACAATGCTCAAGACCTCTCCCCAGTCTGCAGTGCTTCATCATCCCTATCCCAAAAGTCCCAGCACTCCTCATCCTCCATGAATTCACGTCTTAAATGTTCAAAATATTTTTTTAGAAAAAAAGCTTTCAGCTTTAAAAATGTGAACTCAGCGTAACATTACAAGCTTGCTGGCCTGAAAGGCAGTCATTGAGCAGGTGATAGCAGGAGAGCTGATCTTGCCACTCCGCCCCTTCACCAGTCCCTGCTCATAGATCTCCATGATGCATCTTCTCTCCAGGACACGGAGTCCTGGCTGAAAGGATGAAGCAAGAATCTGCTTCTCATAAAAACTGAGAAAAAACCCAGCAGTTGCTGGAATGTGCTTATAATAGTGGACAGCTGCTACCATGGCATCACTACTGATCAGAAGAGCTGGCTCAATAACTCAACAAAGTGAAATTTAACCATGATTTGATGTGCTGATGGAAATGGAAAAATTCAGGGCCACAACTGCTTTCCTGTATCATCCTCCTCCTGTGCTAAAGCTATGAGGTCTGGCTCCAAGAGGTGGTGTAGTTCTGTAATCGAAGCCTTGGTAAATCACACCTGCTGCACACAGCTCAGCCTGAATTTTAATGCCCCATCCTCTCCCCCATGAACAGACTGGTAGACAGCCAGTTGCATGATAATTTCACACTGTGCTATTCATGGCACCTATTTACATATCTCTCTATTTCTTCCTCCTCCTGTCTGCCCTGACCCCAGCTCCACTTGTCCCCTTTACTGAGGCCTGTCAACCTCCCCAATTAGCTTCCCAGCTCCAACAATGATGTTCTGTGAGGACAAGATGCAGCTCCAGCAGTGACCACCACTTCCAGTGGTACTATTGGGAGCACAGCTCTACTTCATTGGCCCACATCAGAAGTCACATGACACCAGGTTATAGTCCTACAGGTCTATTTGGAATCACACAAGCTTTTGGAGAACAGCCCCATTGTCAGGTGCAGTGAGAGAACAGGGCACACAGACACAGAGTTTATAGGCAAAGAGATCAAGGGCAGAGACTTCAGAAGATCATGCAACTGGTGTGAGTGGAGTGTCAGATGATAAATCTCCACAGGTGACCAAGAGTGATAGACAGTGTGTGAAGTGTTTATAAAGTCAATGTCAGTGCTGTGCTGTCATGACAATCAGGCAGAGCCATAGGAATATACAAAAGGTGACATCTCCAGTCAGACAGGGAATTGTAGGTGTAAGGCTTTGTTCAGAATCAGTCTCAGAGTTTTAACCCGGAATCAGCCTGGTTTTAGTTCGAAAGCTGGAATTTTGTATCTGCAAATAAACAAACATCATGGATGAAATGATTCAGCCCATAGATGTGTGTGTGTGTGTGTATGTACGTGTGTGAGAGTGTGTGTGTATGTGGGAGAGAGCACTCGTGTGTGAGAGAGTGTTTGGTGAGTGTGAGTGTGTGTGTGAGTGAGTGTGTGTGTGAGAGAGGGTCTGTGTGAGTGTGTGTGTGAGGAGAGTATAATAAGTAATTCAAAACTGTGCAAACTTATTAAAGTAATGAGATCATAACAACTTATCAAGGTGATGCTGTCAAAACGGAAGAGTAAGGAAGATATTACAGATACAGAAGAGTGTGGTGGGATCACCTGTAGTGCAATATGAACCCCAGATCATGGTTGAGGCTGTCTTCATGGGTACAGAACTTGGCTACCAGTCTCTGCTCGGTGATTCTGCGTTGTTGTGCATCTTGAAGTCCACCTTGGAGGGCGCTTACCTTAAGATCGCAGGCTGAATGCCCTTGACCGCTGAAGTGTACGCCCACTGGGAGGAAACAGTGTACCAATGTGCCATGGCAAATATTAAAATCCACCAGGGGTGGTCATCTGATAAAATACCATGACCCTGACAATGCTCAAGACCTCTCCCCAGTCTGCAGTGCTTCATCATCCCTATCCCAAAAGTCCTAGCACTCCTCATCCTCCATGAATTCACGGCTCTCTCTCACACACACACACACACACACATACTTTCACATACATGCAAATACACGTACATACTCTCTCTCACACAAACACACATACACTCACACAGAACCTCTCTCTCACACACACATACTCACACCCATATACTCTCTTACACACACGCACTCTCCCTCTCCCTCCCTCTCTCTCTCACACAGACACACACACACACACATCTATGGGATGAATCATTTCATCCATGATGTTTGTTTATTTGCAGATACATTCTATTTTGTTCAAAAATTTGTAGTCACAGTCAGTCAGTGTGGCATCTTATAAATTCCAGCTTTCAGAATAAAACTAGTCTGATTCTGAATTAAAAGTCTGAGACAGATTCTGAACAAAGCCTA